AAGAAAGAAAGAAAGAAAGAAAGAAAGAAAGAAAGAAAGAAAGAAAGAAAGAAAGAAAGAAAGAAAGAAAGAAAGAAAGAAAGAAAGAAAGGAGAAGAAAGAAAGAAATCCAATGCTACTCAAATTCCAAACCATTAATCCATGAACATAATTTCATTAGACATTTCTCTCTACTACATGCCTGGCTGCAATAGGCTACTTTCATGTATCTCAGGTCTATTCTTCAATAATCTCATTTCAGAGCTGGGTATGATGGTATATTCCTGTCATCCTTATACTTAGGAGACTGAGACAGGATATTCTTGAGTTCAAGCCTAGCTTGGGATATATGCTGAGACTCGCATCTCAAAATTTTTCACATTTTATAAATTTGATAGTGACTCTTAGGCAGGCAGTGGTGGTGCACGCCTTTAATCCCAGCACTCTGGAGGCAGAAGCAGGCGGAGCTCTGTGAGTTCGAGGCCAGCCTGGTCTACAAAGTGATTCCTAGGACAGCCAGAGCTACACAGAGAAACCATGTCTCAAAACCACACCCCAAAAGAGAGAGACTTCTGAAAATTAAATGATGGGTCTGAGTCTCCTAATTGCAGGCCACACCGTCTGAGCTCCTGTTCATTTTCTGTCTTGTGCTTCACCGCAGTGCCTTGATTTTATCACACCCTCTCCAACAGCTATGCTGTGTGCTCATCCAAACTTGACTGTATCTGAGAAAACAATATTTATTTCATTTCTTCACGTCTATGTGGAAGTCTACCCCCAAAGCCTGTGCTTCAGTGGCTGGGAAAAAGTATGTGAAATACTAGTATACCTCTTGAGAATTTAGTAGAAGAGTCAGATATGTGCGTAAAAACAACAGTAGTAGCCAGCTAATAAAGATTAAATCCCAGCTGTGCCATGCATTGTTCTGAGCACTTGAAAGATATGAGGAAATAAGATAGAATTATTTTTGCCTTCGGAGCATTTGAGCTAATAGGATTTTAGAGGTGAATGTTAATTCACCTAAGTCAGGAAAATCAGTCTGAACAAGCCTCTTTCTAACTGGTAATGTATTGGAATCCCAACCACCACCCCAGGGTCTTGCTATGTACCCCAAGCTGACTTGCTGTATACATCACCTAGGATGACCTTGAACATGCAGTCTTCCTTGAGAGCTGGGATTATAGGCATAAGCCAACACTCCCCACTTGGTGATTCATTCTTAATAAAAGAATTTTTCTTTTCTCCTGTGTACTGGGAATCTCTAAAGCGAATTCGTATATATTTTAAGTTTAAATGTTAACTGGTCCCCACACATGCTCTCATCTAGCATGTAGACATTTCTATGTGCTGTGCATATCAGCTGTGACTGAGACCACTGGGCAAAGAAAGAACCTGGCACCAGGTGTGAACGAGGCACACACACACCCCTCCCCATTTCTAGACAAAGAACAATTCTAGATTCTGGCTCCTGGCCTTGCCCCACCTCCCACTGCTGTTTTCCCACTTGTTGTGACAAATCAAACCTGTTCACAAACTCTTTAATGACAGGGTAGGAGGGTCAAGTATTTGCATAACAACAGCAGCAATAATAGCTAACATTTGTTGACAGTGTATCACATGCCTAGTAGGGTTCCAAGCATTTTCTGTGCATTAATTGTCTCAAGTAGCACACTACTCCTTAAGGTATATATAAACATGATATTTCATAATAAGTATTGGTCCTTTTGTAAACACCAACAATTTACAGTAATGACTATGGGTGATCTAACTAGAGACCCTGCATTACCTCAGTGTTCTGAGACCAGAAGCCTATGGGTTATAGGGATTATTTATATTTAATATTGTATGTGCGAGGTGCTTTGCTTCACATAAGTTATTCCTAATCCTTGAAGCAATCCTTCAGGAAATATTTTGTTATTCCCAATTTCTAGATAAGGAAACTGAGGCTCAGGAAAGTGAAGTGACCTATCTGAAATCACACATAGCAAAGGAGCTGAGGCCATAGAAACTGAGCATTCTGAGGAAACCCCAGACACGCTTGGCTGCAATGATGCTGCCCAGCGTGAGAACCCGCTCTCCAGGTGCCTTCTCTCTCCCCCAGACATCAGGCCACATCCCCTGCAACTCTGTCTCTGGAGCAGAGAAGGGATAGGAGGGCATGCTGTCGTGTGGCTCCGCAGTCCCTCTTCTTAACAGCTACAGCGTGAGTGTACAGGTCCAGTCTAGCGCCAGCCTCCTTCCCCATCAGCTTTTAGGCCAGGCCAGGCTGGTATGAAGCTTGCCTGCCAGCCCTGAAAAAGAAAGAGTCAGAACCTCCCTTTGTTCTTCAGCTCCGCAGGAAAGCTTCTCTCTCTACTCTTAAGGTTCCATTGTGCTTGTCTATGGCCATGAATGTCATAGCTCTTCTATATTTCAGCAACCATGGGGCGTGCCTCTCCCTTCAGGACCCTCTGCCATGCTACGATGGTGGTCTCTCCTCATGCAGCTCCTTTCTGGACCCGAAGGCCAACCCTCCCCCTTCACGGCCCTCTCCTAATGAAAACCCTCTGCAGGGTGGGTAGTCTTGGGCCAGCTCCTTCCCATGGACCTTCATTTGAAGTCATTATTCCCAGTTTATTTCATAAGCTCCCTGCAGTCTAGACAGTGAACAGACAAAGCAGTAACAAACGAGCTTCTGGTTTGTGGTGGATCTTGTTGCAGGGGCTGTCCTTCAGATGTGAGAGGGCTGCTTGGTCATGGAGAGGTGTGCTGAGTCCCCCCTCATGGGACCTTGACCAGGTTGTTCTGGTGTTTACCTCTGCTGCTTTGTTTGGTGAAGGAATGCCAGTGTTTGCTGTTGCAAACCAGCTCCAGCAGACCTTTACAGAAAAGATGTTCTGTTTGATTAGCAGAGTGGAACCACTTTCATTTCCCACAGTCTCTGAAGTTTGAAACATCTCTCTGTCTCTTGCTGTCTCTCTTTTTAGATACAAAGCATTAGATATTTGAGATGTTGGAAATTCGTTTGATATTTGTGTCATGTTAGGTTTATCCCTTTAGAATTTTGGAGACCATGCTAGTACCAATGGCTACTAAGAGCCTAGGTTCATCCCATTTTACCCAAAGACTGTTTGGAATATTCACCTCTGCTGAAGTTGAACTACACCTAACTTCAGTTATAGATCAGATCTAGGGAGGGTGGAATTGTTCCATTTTACTACAATATGAAGAAGAGGACACAAATCTAGGATTTTTTTTAAATATATGAGTGTTTTGCTGCCATGTACATCTGTGTACCATGTGCACAAAGCGCCCACAGAGACCAAAAGAGAGCATCAGATCCCCTGGGGCTGGAGTTACAGACAGTTGTTGTGAGCCTCCATGTGGGTGCTGGGAATCAAATGGGTCCTCTGGAAGATCAGCAGTGCTCCTAAATCCTGAGCCATCTCTATAGCCCTTGTTTTGTTTTGTTTTTCCCCTCTATGTATACGTACGCATGTTTGAATGTATGTAGACATGTATGCTTATGTGTGTGCGTGCATGTGGAGGTCTGAGGTTGATGTCAAGAGTCCTCCTTAGTGTAGCTGGAGGGCTTCTCTCCAGGTTCCACCAAGCCCCACAGTCCCACAATCCACGTATAAAATAATCACTCAGACGCTTATATTATTTATAAACTGTATGGCCGTGGCAGGCTTCTTGTTAACTGTTCTTATATCTTAAATTAACCCATTTTTATAAATCTATACCTTGCCACGTGGCTGGTGGCTTACCGGCGTCTTTACATGTTGCTTGTCCTGGCAGTGGCTGCAGTGTCTCTCCCTCCTTCTTCCTGTTTCCCCAATTCTCCTCTCTCCTTGTCCCACCTATACTTCCTGTCTGGTCACTGCCATCAGTGTTTTATTTATATAGAGCAATATCCACAGCACCTTAGTCTCCCTCTACCTTATTCACTGAGGCAGGGTCTATCAGATGAAATCAGAGCTCACCTATATAGCTCATCTAGGTAACCAGCTTGTTCTGGGGATCCCTTGCCTCTGCCTCTGAGCATTAAACTTACAAGCAGGCATCCACACCTACCCAGCATCTACCTGGGTTCTGAGGGGTCAAATACAGGTCCTCATACTTGCATGGCCAGTACTTTGCTTTATCTCTTGAGTCATCTTTCTAGCATGGATGGTTCTATTTTTCCAAGTCCCACAGTGTGACTACTTCCTTGAGGCACTGGAAGATTTTTTTGTTATTTATGAGCCCTGAGCTCCACATGACTTCTGAAAGCTCTGAACTATAATGTGCAAATAGCAATACCATTTGATTTAAAACTAAACTAATGAAAGACAATGTTTCTATCGATAAAGCATGAGGGTTTGAGTTAAAAGTGAGGCAGGTTCTCAGATGTAGCAGTGAAGCCTGCCTCACCCAGAGCAAGGAATGTACTGTATGTTCCCTGACTGTGCATACCCTGGGTCCATGAAGTCTGCTAAAGTCTCAACCAGTTACTGTGTGCATTATTACCCCACACTCCCAAGACTCTGTGCCTATTCTTATTAAAGCCTGCCCAGAGACATACTTGATGGTATAAGTTGATGTTCCCATCTATTTGGAAGCTTGAGGCAAGAAGATTGCAAGTTCAATGTCCTTGTGGGCTGCAGAATGAGTTCAAGGCTAGCCTGGGCAACCCCACCCCCACCCTCACCCTACCCTACACTCTGTTAGTCCTGGATGTCCTGGAACTCACTCTGTAAACTGGGCTGGCCTGGAACTCACAGAGATTAAGGACATGCACCACCACTGCATGGTTCTCTCTTGTGAGCTCTCTCTCTCTCTCTTTCATAAAATAGGATTCCTCATTGACTTGAAACTTGTCAAATAGGCTAGGCTAGGCTGGCTGGTCAGAAAGCCCAGGGATTAGCTTGTCATCATGTCCCAAGCACTGGGACTACCACGTACAGCATTTTTTAAATCGGTGCCAGGAAGCAAACTCAATCCCTAAAATAAATTTTGCCAGGTAGCGGTGGCACATGCCTTTAATCCCAATACTCGGGTGGCAGAGCCAGGTGGATCTCTGTGAGTTTGAGGCCAGCCTGGTCTACAGAGCAAGATCCAGGACAGGCACCAAAACTACACAGAGAAACCCTGTCTGGAAAAAAAAAAATTAAATCCCTAAAAAGATTTCTTTAACAATGTATTTCATTATGGCACTGCCATAATGTATATTATGGTATCTTCACCCATATTTGTATCCCACTCCCCTGTTTATCTTACATTTGGCCCCTCCTGCTGATTCCTTTCCTACCTTCTTTCTGCTTTTATGTCATACCTAGATGTAGGTATAGATATATACATAGATACATATCCATACATGAAGCCCAGCAGTTTCTGAAGTCTGGATACAGACATCTGTGAGACAGGAAGAGGCCCTCAGTGGAGTAAATGAATGACCAGTCAACCAGGCATTTGCCCTTTGACTTCCGCCCCTGGAGCTCCTGCGGTTGTCAGCGGTGAACAACCTCCTTGTGTAACAAGAGCACCCCAGTGGGTGGGAACTGCCAGCTCCAGGAGTAAATCTGACAGCAATAACAGCGAGGCTCTCCAAGCTCTCCCTGGCCCACTCGACAGCCTCTACAGAAAATGCTCTACAGCAGAGAAGTGGCTCCCCTAAACAAAACATCAGAAAGAGGCAAGTGTTCTGATGCCAAGGACATTGCTCTTGACCATGGAGGGAGATTTAAAAAAAAAAAAAAAAAAAGGATGACTACCAGTATCTGTGTCTTTGTTTCACCCAGCCATTTTCTTCTGCCTTTTGATACTTAGCTATTTATTGATATGCATTGTGGATGCAAGAGTATTTAGTATTCTCAACAACTGGGTCTTGGAGAGGCTTAGAGAGAAAAAGACTGGTTCATGATCGTTTTGAAGTTGCTAGCTATCCCTTTCTCAGTCTGCTAACTGATGCCATGACTAGTTGGAGTTGTCTCTCTTTGACTTTTAAATCTTATCTCCCCCCCCCCCCACCTTTGCTGGGGCTTTGCTATGTTGTTGCCCAAGCTAGCCTCCAACTCCTGGTTCTATCAATCCTCCTTCTTCAGTATTCCAAGTATCTAGGACTATAAGGCATATCTATCACCTCGTTCAGGTCTTTCTTTGGATCTTATATATGCTAACCAATCTCTGTCTCTGTCTGTCTCTTTGTCTCTGCCTCTCTCTGGGTCTCTCCCTCCCTCCATGGTGTATGTGTATGACCAGGTCGCACACCTGTGTACAAGCACAGAGGCCAGTGGACACATGGGTGTCCATCCTACTTTATTTCTCTGTTCTTCATTCTCTAAAGAACAGGTTATGCCACTGAATCCAGAGCTTATCATTTCAGATAGACTGGCTGGCCATCAAGACCCAGTGGTCAATCCTCTTGTCTCACCCCCCCCCACACACACACACACAGCACTGGGCATACTGGTATGCATGGCCATGTCTTGCTTTTTACATCAATCCTGAAGATCTGAACTCAGGTCCTCATGCTTGTGCAGTAAGAGTTACTGCCCACTGAGCCATCTTTCTAGGCCCTGGGCGTCACCGTCTTCTGAATCACTGGCCTCTTTAAGAAAATAACTAAAGCAGCAGACTATGTCTGGCGAGAGGACAAGCTTATTTCTTCACATCTTTCCAACCCTTTTTCAGGGGGCTTGTGGATAACAAACAAATAAAGAAAATCACTTCTGAGTGTACATAGCTCTTAAGCTTTATGTGGCAGCTTGGCCAATAACTTATGCCTCTGGTCATCTGCACACTATTTGTGGCAATCTGGCTGCTGTGTGACTTACTCCCTCTGAACTAGTTTTCTTGCATTTAGAGTGCCTTCCTCACTTTAGACTTGTGTTACTGTTGCTGATATTAAAACAATAAATTAACTATGTGAAGCACTCATAGAGTTCCTTGGGGCAAAAAAAAAAATTTTATAAGTATCAAATCACAGCATCACAGCTCATTTCTGATCTCTCATTTTCCTCCTTCATATTATGATTTCCAAGGCCTATTCCAAATGTCATCTATTCTTTTCCCAAAGCAGGAGCTTTTCAATGGCTCTCATTGTGCTGTGGAGCAAACTCTTGGTGCCATGGTTTAGGACACGTTTCAGCTGTAGGCTGTATCAGGAGAGCTTTGAAGCAGCATTTCTTTCTTCCAATAAGCATTGCAAAGTACTTACCTCTGTAGACAAATTGCTAAATGGTCTTATTAAATAAAAACCATGGAGCCAGATATCGGGGTTAACACCTGAGAGATCAGAGGAATAGGAAAAGCCACAAGCCAACCTCTCCTCACCAACTCTGCAGCTTCACAATTGAGCTACTTCCTGTATACCCACACCTATATTCCTTTCTGTTCTGTTCTCTCATTGGCTCTCACAGCCCACCTACATCACTTCCTCTTCCTGCCTAGCTCTGTCACTTCCTGTCTGTCTATACAGACCTCCAGACCTCTATGGTTAGTGCTGGGATTAAATGCATGTGTCACCACACTTGGCTCTATTCCCCAGTGTGGCCTCAAACTCACAGAGATCCAGACAGATCCCTGCCTCCCAAGTGATAGGATTAAAGGCATGTGCTACCATTGCTTGGCTTCTATGTTTACTTATAGTGGCTGTTTTTTTCCTCTAATCCTCAGATAAATTTTATTGGGAGACACAGTATATTGGGGGACACAATACATTGCCACATAACTCCTTATGACAGAGAGCAATCCCACCTTTTTCACTTGTATTTTGTCCAAATTTCTCTAATGCAAGCACTTAAAATCCCATAATCTACATTCTGTTCGTGGTAGAGCAACATGTTTTATAGTCTACTTACTCCAGGAGCAAGAACAAGTTCTACACCCAGGCTTTATTTAAAGCAGCGTGCCCAGGCTGCTGCTTCCTTTGAGTGTCATGATACAGCCTCTGCTACTCGATTTTTGGTTTAACCAACTCAGTCTTAGCATCAGCTTCCAAGTTGAGAACATCCTCAAAAGGATTCAGACACCAGTGGAAGCCTACATGAGCCCCCCGGGCCTCACCCTGGTTCCTGACATCAAGATATTCCTTGTGCCTGCATGTGGTGGTACACACCTTTAATCCTTGCCATTGGTAGGCAGAGGCAGGTGGATCTTACTAAGTTTGAGGCTAGTTTGGTATACATAGCAAGTTAGCAAGTGCCAGGACAGTCAGGGCTGCACAGTGAGACCGTGTGTGTGTGTGTGTGTGTGTGTGTGTGTGTGTGTGTGTGTGTGTGTGTGTAACTTGCTAAAGTACCAGATTAAAAACTCTTTTTTTTGACTCAGGGTCTCATGGAGCTCAGGCCAGCCTCAAACTCACTATGTAGTCTTAAACATACTATGTAACTGAGGATGACATTGCATTTCTTATCCTTCTGCCTCTAGAGTGCTGAGATTACAGATGCGAGCCTTCACACTCAGTTTACCTGGATCAGGGAACTGATCTCAGGGCCTTGTCTGTGCTAGACAAGCATTATACCAACTAAGTTAGATCACCAGCCCCCAACATTTATCTTCCTATTTATTTTTAAAGAAAAAACTATTTAATAATAAATTCCATACACATATGCAGACTTTTGTGTGTTGCCTGAGAAAAATGGAAGGATTAAACACAAAATGAAAATGAGCAAAAGACATTGTCTGAGGGGAGATTCTTCTTTATAATGAAAGCTGTTGTGTACCAAATGGCTTTTATGAAGTTCTTAGAGATGGAGTAATTACTGGGATTGGCTGGTAGCCCACCTCTCCTTGATTGACTCTGCAGTAGGGCAGACTGCAGTGTTCTTGTTTCTGGGTGTGTGGCAGGGGAGGGGGAACCTTTAATTTTCACCAACAAATAAAGCAAGAGGAAAGAGTTTTTATTGCCAATGCCATGTGCCCTCCAAGTAATAAGTCCAACTAGTTAATGGAGGGAGGGAGGAGACAAGCCATGACAAGTGATTCCTGGGAAGCTCGAGTCTCCTACTGGGTGTGCCAGTAAGTAGCCATTTTTTCTAGGTTTGGCAACTGCTATTAAGACTGTGGAAATCTCCCTCTTCCCTACATTTTTAAATGCTTGATATTCTGCTAGATTAGGCAATTCCAAGCTGGAGTATTGCTGAAAACATCAAAACTGTCACCATGGGAATGCACCCCACATATTTGCAGTTTTCAGATTCAATTTTGAAAACATCAGAGAAGGTGGGAAGACCCTTCTTCAGATTCAGAAAGAATGCACATCTATGTCTTACACTAGCCACTGCCTAACTGGTCATCAGTACTTCCAAGTTCTACTTTGTTGGGAGCACAAAGGTCCTTTCACCCACAGATCTCTAGGGAAACTAGGAATATTAAGCACATAGGATTGTCCTCTCAAAGGAATGGACATATAACCTGTTCTTCCATCCAGAAAGCTGGGAATTGGAGGTGATTAACAGCCTGGTGATCTGCGTTATCTGTTGGGACAGGCCATATCAAGCACCTACATCCAGTATTAGAGGTAGCTAATAATCTAAATGAACCTTACATTACCTGTACAGCCAGAGGCTCCCCCAAGCTCCCACAACCAGGACCAAATGACCTCTGCACTGTGTATGACCAAGACTATGCCAGATCCTTCCCTGGGCTCTTAAGCTAATTCTGATGGTCTATCTCCAAAACCCATCTTTTTGGAAGAAATGGCATGTACCTTGAGTTGAATTTCAATGTAACTATGCTTTCTCGTGTACCAGAGATTGTGTTATACCATGAAAAAAATTTCCCCAAATTATACTGGGTTTAAATATGCTGGCAATAAACCACCTTGTATCAGACTCCCCAAAGTTTGATCCAGGTTGACAAAGTCAATTTGAACCAAGTTTTCATTCTCACCTCTTTGTGATTCATTTTCTTTCTTGCCTACACCTTCAGGGACTCCCTCACTATATGATGTCTTAAATTCTTGTCAGGGCCTCCACTGGTCACCTAGAACTCCAGCTGACAGAGTTCCTGAGTAACACTGGACTGTTCTAGAACATCCGGTCTGTGAGAGGCTAGTGTGTTACCTTTGCATGTTAGTATTTACTCTGCACCTGGAAAGCCCAATTATTAAAGTATCCATCACCTGAGAAACTTTCATATGTCCGACAAGTGCCAGGAATTTCTGTGGTTTTATTCAGTTCTTGCTGAGAAATCCAAACTCTGAGGTGAGCAGCTTTCTCAGAGCAGTAGGACACCAGTGTTTGCGGAGACTCTCATAGCTTTCTATGCTGTCCCTGCAGCCTAGCTCTCCATGCCACATCAGGATGCTTCTCATCCTGCCACTCACAGGGCCTCGAATAGCCTGCTTCCTGCTCCTCGTCTTCCTCTGAGTGGGGCTTTTTAGCAGAAGCACAAATAACAACACCTCTGATGGCGGTGCACCAGGTTACTGAAGAGAAGGACCTTGCTGGTTTCTTATCAGAGTGA